TCGTTTGTTTCGACATATAAGCAGCATAAAGCCGCTCACGTCTTCGTGCAAGCTGTATCCATCCACTCTGGAGGAGCCGACAGTCCGGCGCCCACCTTAAAGATTGAGCAGTGCCAGATGTCTGACATTCCGGTCAGTCTTGTGCACATGACGGAGTTCCGCCATCTAAAGTCAATTTTCCAGAATGGCCTATTATGCCAGGGAGGAAACACTTCAGAAACAAAGCTGCGAAACATGAATCACTTCCTTCCGATTGATGCTTTGCTCTTGAGTCAGGAACACAATTCGTCCAACTGCCAACGTGGCCCTTGTCCTCTCTAAGGCCACTCTCGAGCAAAACCGTCGCATCCAATTCTGCCTAATAAGCAAGAACCGTTATTTCCTGACTCGAGAAGCCATTCCAGCAAGCATTTTTTCTTTGACCTGGAACATTAGAGACAGACAGTGATTGGCAATGAGCGTTGAAGATGAGGGCTACCTCCGTTTCTACAGTCAGTTCTACTGTGAGGTCCTCAGGCTCACCACTAAAGGCCATGACAAGTTTAGCATCGAGGCCCGGAGGCTGGCCTTTAAGAATTGCAAGATCCGCGAGATCGAGAAGTGGCGCTCTCAGAAGCAAGATGAGCTTGACAGCCACCAGCGCCATGGCATGTCGAAGATCGCTGCCGAGACTTGGCTTAATTACCTCAGTGTTAACGACGAATGGCGCGATCAAGAGACAGATATCTCCGTCGCCTCAAGAAAAGGACTCTTTCCGAAACTACGGAAGATGATGCCATGGACGTCGATGCTGGCGTTCCGGCCGACGATGCAGATGACCAACAAGTCATCGACACACTAGATGATCAAATTGATGGACGACCTCGCGGGGGCCAGGAAGAAAGGAGTTTGGGCCAAGAAAGGTGAGAAGAAGTCCGACATCATTCCGGGCAGTTCTTCGGCACCTTCGGCCGGTGAAAAGCATCCGAGGCAGTCAAGAAGGAGAAAGAGGCAGGTTCCCGAACTTGGGCCTCTCGTGCCCGGTCTCGCACGCCAACGCGCACTGTCCTTAAGAAAGCAGACCGATTCTTGGAACCCAGCCGTTCGCCTTCAGCAGGTCGACGCCGTGTGTCCTTGTCCTCCAAAGTCCGGAGACAAAATATTATGAACCAGAGGCCACATCGCGAGCGCGTGAAGTGATCGCCGATGCCCAGAAGCAACCGATTGAATACTAGAGGCAGCCAGACACTATGTGTGCAACTTGCAGTCTTGAAGAAGTTCTTTTCTTCTGTCGCGCTTGTGGCCACGGTACCTGCTTGGACTGCTTCCATGACAAGGCTAACCAATGTAAGCGCAGCCCCAGATGCCGACATTCCGGCGCCGCTGGGCGAGGATGAACGGGAGGACATTACCGCAGAGATCGGTTTTACAACGCCTTTTGCTCCCGAATCCGAAGAAGGATGGACTCCTCTGGACAGATTGGCTGCACCCGCCGACGACTGAGAGAGATGAAGAATTTGGTGCCCGGCGGTGGTTCCACTGCATGGACCGGATCATTTTGGAAGGCTCGGTAAGTATCACTACAGTAATAATCCACCTTACGAGCGAGGTGCCATCCATCGTTGAGCACTGGAATAACCCAGAGTGAGGTCGCCCCATATCCTATTGTCCGACCTAGCTGCTTCTACGACCAGAACCGCCGATATTCTGGCGATGAGATGCGTCACATAGTCGACCTTAGGATTTCGTGCTAACCAAGGCGACTTCAATTTGGAGGACGCGAAACTGCCTGCGGTCAACCTGTTTTGCTGTTGAATTTGGGTGACATTAACCGTCCTCCTCATTTTAATGAAGCAGCAATTGCCCCGAAGTCTCCAGGAAGGCGACCAATATGTGGTTCTGCCACACTATTTGGTTCGCAATACTGCACATGTCACGATTCTCCTTGAAGCAGGACGCCTGGAGAGACACAGCGATCTTTTCCAACAGTATAATAAGATGTGCCTTGTTGCCTGACGGGCCAGCGCGTCCGATCGCTTGTGTATGCTCATCGGACGACATTACGTCCAGGCTTGAGCTTCTGCGCCGCATTCAACTTGATTCAGATCGCCTTGGTTGGCTTGCGCACGCGGCAACTTTTAGAGTTATTTGAGGCCAGGTCGATGAGGAAACCCATGGGCGCATTACGACCAATAAAGAAGTCCGCGCAGATCTTCGCAAGGCGCTTGAGGATGGCGAAGATCCTGCCGAGAAAGGCCGACGGACTGGTAGGTTGTCTGATTGCAAGCGAATGCATCTCCCTGAGTTAAGGGTTTGCGCCTCCCATTTGAATTCCGCCACATTTGACGGCTGCATCACAGCAGGGAAGGGCGTGCTCACCAAGATTCTGGTGACGGCAGTTGCGGGCCAGGTGGACGTCATAGTTTGTGACGCGAACCTCTTCACTCATAGGCAGTTCAAGCAGGATCGACATTACGATCCGGCGACAGGCTCCGTCCTTACCATTTTAGACCAGATCCTAGTTTCTGCCAATAAGCTGCGTGAACCTCACCAATGTATTACCTGCAACTGGGAGGTCTCCACACTTGTCACCGAGCAGCTTTCGGCACTAGCCGGACGAGATGCCGATGCAGCCTGCCTTATGCAGATTGTGCTGAATTATGAAAAAGACATGCACACGCTAGTGAAGAGGTCATCCGACATTCCGGAAGACAAAGGCCCGTATTGGATACGAAGGGCCACCGCGTCAGAAAGAAGCCCTCATTCAGGTCAATGAGTACCTGAAACATTTGAACCATTTAGATTTTTGCGTAAAGAGCAGCGACGAAGCCTATCATCATCCGTTTCAGTGTACATTCCAGCTTGCTGCAAGATCCATCGTTCGAGTCCGAAGTGATGCTTCTGCACAGTATACAGAAAACAGAAGGACAAAGAACGGTCCCAGTGGAGACGGCAAGATTGGTGCCAATCCTCTGCCTCTTCTTCCTCATGGCATCAGCCCCATTGGGACACTGGATACCGAGGGTATTATAGAAGATGGTAATTGACGTCCAAATTGTCGACATTCGGGCAATTGAGCATAGAGAGAGTTGCAGCAGATGAGATTTAAACTAGATTTTGAAAACTCCTTTAGCCTCTGAACTCGAACAGACTTTAAAGATTTCAGATAGAACTTGAAAATCCTCCGACATTATGGAGATTTCACAGCTTGATAATTTTGCCTTTCGTAGATTTTGTACACTCTACCTTTCGATGAGAACTTTAGATTGTCTGACGTCATAGACTTACTTTAAGGGCCAGAATGGCATCTACGGTCAAGTTCTGCGATGCCAGAACTTTTGTAATTCATTTGCACCCTTTTGTGCTTTTGCAGCCGTAAGCTTCGACGAAGAAAATTTTTGTCTGTTTGTGTTTTGTATTGTCCTAGGTTCCCCTAGGCGTGTCTACGCTAAGCACTACGCTATGTGTGTAGCACCTGTTGTCCATAGTTACTTGTACATACCTCCTCTTCAGTCAGCTGCTGCTTAATTCATTTGCACTCTGTGCCATAGAAAAGTGTGCTCGCCGCCGCTCGCACACTAGCCACACAAGAGAGGGTCTTACTTGGTGTTTTCGATCAGGTCCAGCGTACTTCACTGCCACTTTGGGGAACTTAGCCCTCACCCCCCCAAGAGGAGGGCAGATCAGCTGCCGGGTATGGGTTGGAAGGTTCCGCTTCAAAGACCTGGATCTTCCAATCATATCTGCCAAACGTCTGGGCTGATGTTGGATGAAAAAGGCAGACATGCGTCACCAAACATTGGAAGATGCCCAGGTCGAGCCCGCGCGCGACGGACCGCACGGGGGGGGACCGAGGCGGTGGAGCGGAAGAATGGGCTCTACAACCACTGGTTGGCTTCGACGGCCTATCGCTTTCTGTGTCGACAGATTGGCGTGCGCGTTCTTTTATGTGACTGTGAATGGTTCAGTTTCCGACCCCAGGACAAAGGGCCTGGACTCATGTGGTTCGCATATGAAGAGGATCATTTGATTGACACGGTCACTTGACGGCGTGAGAGTTCTGCTCTACCGGTGGTGTCTCAGAAACGCTGGACCCATCGAACTGGCCAACTGTCAGCAGAAAAACGGCTGGAAACGTCAGGTCCTGGGGTCGGTCCGTGGGCCGACGCAGGGGGCTGTGGAAAGGTTCGAACTTCGATGCTTCATGTGCAGTAAGAAGGAGGAGGAGGGGAGAAGGGGAGAAAGAGAGGGGAAGACACGAATGGGTAACGTCATCCAAGTATTGACGATGCAAACTATGATGCTTACAGTTCGGATTGTTGACACTTGCGATGCAAACTGCAAATTTGGCCAGCCTAGCCTTCTGAATCAACCCAAACAGCACGGCAAAGAATTCGCTGCTGGGATGCAGCATCTTCCGTTTGCATCTTGAAATTTCTGCAAGTTCCATGCCCCAAGAGTTTGTGGAGTTCCAAGGGAACCGGCTTTCCACACATGACAGCTGAGATTCTTGGGAGTAGAAGTCTCAAGCACTAGCGGGCGCAGCAGCGGGCGTTAGTTTCTTTTTCCTTTTTTCTGCCCACTGACTCACACGGTGCTATGGATCGAGCGCCGCCTGTGACCTTTGGAAGGCTGGATTTGCTCAGATTTGGACGATTTGGTCGGCCTTCCGTGTTCGGACGAGCTTGAGCAGTCTGGGCTGAGGGCATAGCGCGTCGTAGACATGGCTCGGCATGAGTGCGACCCCAAAGTAGGTCCCCTTTTTTTCATCTCCATTGCCTGTACATGCAATCACCGGTGGGAACACTGAGAACCAACGAATGAGCCTTGAGGTTTTCAAAGCAGCCTCCGCAACATGTGGCCCCAATCGTAGTCTGAACCGTCATGCAATTGCTTCCAAACCCTACTGATACCTATATGGGAGTCATGCAGGCTTTCTGTGGCAAAAAGCGCCTTGAAAGCATTCCAAAGGGTCCTTGCAAGACCGTTTCGGGTTGACCCGATGACACGATGACTCGCCCATGGCCCGACCATGTCGATGCGCTCCGCGGCTCTTCTTCTATTTGCTTCTGCCGGTCGCCGTGGTTTTGCTCTGGACTTCTTGGGTCCTGTGGACGGCAGACCACGGAACGCCCAGCGCCACCGCGAGCGCCGCCGACGGTCCCGCGCCGCGCGGTGTTCCACCCGCGCGGTGGGGCGGGGCGTCACGGCGGTCCGTGGCGTTCTGGGTGACAGCGATGGAACGCGGAGAGATTGAGATTTGGCGAATTCGGATGCGACACCCCTTTCTTTTTTCAATCTCTCATGTTACTAGTAGCTTCTTGTTCCTAGTAGTATGACCAGAAGCCCCGAACGTAGCGAACCTTGTTCCCTTCGAGAATCGTTTCAGGGAGTATGTTGATGTCTTGAGTTTGGTCCGGACGCGAGTCGATTTGAATCCTCCAACGGCTGGTGAACCTCGAAGCCGGGAGAGAAACAAGCGTACGCATCACTCATGTTCAGTAGGGGGGCCTTTCTTGTTCTTGAGCAGGGTCCAAATGTTGTTTTTAGTTTAGGTTGCCTTGAGCGGTGCAAGGACTTGGTGTTGAATCTGGGGCTGGAGTTGCAGAGCTTGGGCTACGAGGTCCACGTGGAGAGCGCCGAGGACTTCCCCGAGCTGGACGCACTGAAGGAGTTCTTGCCGTGTCGCCTCAACGGCCAGTTGAAGACGCTCCTGGACGACGGACGCTCCGGCGACGGTCCGAGCCTCTTTCCGAGCCTTGGGACCGAGGGCTCGAGCCGCTGGATCCTTTGCTTTTCGAGCCGCTGGAGCCGTTTCTTCGCGACGCCGAGCTTTCGCTCGTCCGGTGTGCGATGGATGTGGTACGTCTACCAGGCGCCCGCGGTGCGGTGCGTCCAGGAGCCTCGACTCGGAACGCGACGACGTCGACCGACCTAAAGATCATGTCATCCATCGCTGTCACACGAAGACAAAGCCGATTTCGGAGTAGAAGGGCAGACCACGTGGGGGCCTCGTGGTTTTTCCAAGAGCTGACCATGTGGACCATGTGGGGCAGAATGCCTGGCGTTGCTTTGAGGACAGGGGGCAGAAGCAAGACATGGGAGCGGCCATGGCCAACGCCGACAAGGTTCAAGACATGCGGCCGAGCCCGGTGTAACCCCGAACCGTGATCTACGACCATTGATATACTTTCATCATCCTGCCTTCCGGAAGTAGATGGGGCATGATGGGACCATGAAATGTACATGTTGCCCCTTCTCGTTGCATGCTGTTTCTCGTGTTTGGATGCCAAACGGACGCGCATTCGATCTCCATTGATCTCCCCTTGGCCCTTGAAGGTGCTTTTTCTGCGCGAGGCGGACCGAGAGGTTTGGTCGCGTCGGGCCCCGGTCGCCCCGCGCGGACGCGGAGCGACCGGTCGTGTCACCACCTTCCGAGCGTTCCTGCGCAGTGCCGGGCCCTCAGTGAAGCTTCCATCGATGTCCTTCGCCGGCGATCGGCGATCCACGCCCAAGACTTGCAGGACATGAACATGAATCTTTTGGATGAGAATCTCCTCTGAATGCCCGTAATTAAGATGCCGTGCCTAGGTGGATTTGCCTAGATCAAGCCGCGAGGACGTGCGCCAGCAGATGGGCCTGAAGCAGGACTTCGTGAGCCTCACTTGCGCAAAGCGGCAGACTTTTGGGGCCCACGACAACGAAGGCATCCCGAACAAACCAATGATTTTTGGCTTTTGAACTGTTTGTCTCCCTTCCTTGTTTAATCTTTTTTGGCGTCTTTGTCTGCGTCATTTCCAGAGTTTCCGACCCCTCTACATCGGGGTGCGATGAAGTCCACCCGGACACCCAAAGAACAAGCATGTGAACAAAGCGTGTGAACCGGAGTGCTCCATACTGCTCCATATCAAGACGCCGTGACTGCTGAGCTTTTTAAAGAATGAAGCGATACTGCTGAGCTTTTTTTCGTGACACACCGGGTTTGTGGCTTCTGGGCTGCCAGGGGTTGTGACTGACTGAGTCTTGCCGTCCAAATAGACAAAAGCAAGACGACATATACTTGCTCTTTTTGCGTGGAGGCTTCTCTGAATCAAAACCGAACTTGGAAGTAACCACTCGGCTTGATCCATTCTCCTTCAGCCCCTCTTAACAAATCCGCCAACAAGTGGTAGAGCAACACTGTGAAACGCAGGTGTGCGTGTTGTTGTCTTTTCTTTGCTTCTGCAGCTGCAGTTGAACCTTAGTGCTTTCTCATGTTTTTCAACGGGTCCAGTGAGGATGACCATCATGGCAGCGGAGTCTTGCTCAACACAGCTGGATGTCGATACGGCTGGGCGCTTGGCAGCCATTTTGCAGGAGAAGGATGATCGGAAAAATCGCATTCCGAAGGGAAATGGGCTTGGTAGTTTGGCACTTACCGCCAGAACTGGAATCCTCCACAAGTGAAGAAATGCTCCTTGTAAGTGCCACCGGAGAAAGCCAACAGGGTCACCACACAAAGCATAGTTTGTGAATTTCAAGCTTGACTCGCAGTTGCCGGAGGAGAAGTTTGCGTCGTCCTGGCTGGTGGCCATTTTTGGAGCTAACCCAGACCAGCATGGCACCAAGATACATGAGAACATTCTACTCTTGACAGACTACGCGGAACTGCTGAAGTACTTGTCGGCTGCCGACGTGCATGTGGCCAGTCGCAGGGGCGGGCGGCGTGTTTTTTTTCCCATTGGTGAACGGGAAAGGAACCCTTCGAGTCCCGAACCAACTCGTTGTGAGTGATGTTTCTTCTTCGGAGAAGGCCTGACACCCGAGATGTGAAATGGACTTCACGAGTTTGCGATCGGAGGAGCGATCTCGACACACGGTGAGTGGTGCGTGGAGAGCGCACGAAGGTGTAGGAGGCCAACTCAATCGTTCAGCAGTTTCCCGAAATGTCCCGTCCCGTTCGCTTGCAGCTGATCATGGAAAGATACTATTGATACATATTGAGGAGCTATATACTAAAATCGTGTGATTAGTTCTAAATTGCATGTTTCATTTGTTGTCTTTTTTGTGGTTGATATTTCTGCGCCTTTTGCGGCACAGGGATGCATACAGGTCGGACCTAGACCTAGACTGGACGTGGTCAGACTGGACGTTCCACATGACTTAAGGAGGTAAGTTGGACGAACGTAGTCAGACTGGGTCAGACTGGACGAACGGGTGAGTCTCCTGCGTCTCCTATTCAAGCTACACTGGCGGGGTTGTGGACTCTTGGGGCGGGCGTGCTGTGCGAAAAGGAATATGCCGCATGTTGCTGGTAGGTGCAGGTGACCTCTTGCCTGTGATTAGAGTTGCTAAACTTAAATGAAGTAACCACAACCAAACCTAGCTTCTTAACCCTCCCACCCGTCCATTTGGAGGCCTTGCTACTCCTGCAAGACACAGTCGGACACGCTGCACACTCTTCTTCTCTTCCACTTGTGTTTTAAAGGATTTGGTCTATATCTTTTGTTCATCCATCAAGTCTTGCTACTAGTAGCTTCTTGTTAGTAGCGACGGCCTCCAACCGACTTGGCGATGGCCTCCACCCCAAAAAAAGGCGTCCTTCATCCAAATCGAAAGCCAACAAAAATCTGGATTGAGTCATGTTTTTTTTTTCAAAAAAAGCTCCAAATTCATTACTCAATCCAAGAAGTCCCTCTTCCTCCTCCTCCTCCGCTGGAGGTCTCCTTCGCCGCTTGGGCCCAGCGCGACGTGCTCCTCGCCAAGGCGCTTGACGTCCCGGTCTTCTCCGACGCCCGCGACGACCTGGCCGCGGCCGCGCGGCTCGGTTCCACCGAAACCCCATGGGAACAAGCAAACTGAGTTGGTCTCAGTTGCTGAGTTACCGTGGCAAAAAGAGTTTTACCCTAACAAAGAGGTATAGTATATATATCAAGTATCATATGTCTTTTACCAGCGTCGTCCTGTCCGTGGTCTCCCAGGCCTTCGGTGGATTTCTTCGCCTTGGACGACACCACCTGGCCCTCGCTGCTGAGCGCCTTGGCCGAGCACGACCCGGCGCTCTCCCACCGCGCAGCCGTGGGCCGCGCGGGCGGGCAGCTGGCGCGCAGCCGTGGCTTCTTTGGGGAGCTGGTGCGAACCAGGGTCCAGCAGCTCGTGGACTTCCTGGAGGAGAGCGCCCCTGGGCATACGAAATTGGCGTGGAGGGGCTACTCAGCTCATGTAGCTGGAGGTGTGGGGCTATAGCTCAGTAATGTAGAAGTAGACTCTTGATTGATGACCCCCTCCGAATTGAAACACCTCTTCATATGGTGGGGTTATTAATCGAGAGTCTACATTAGAGGTGTGGGGCACCGGTCGCGTGGAAGCGATCCGAGGATCCCGATCCCGATCGGGAAGAGTCTGGACGCCTTCGCGTGGGCGTCTTGGCGCAGCTGCACGATCCAAGTCGCTGGGATCAGTTGTGGCCATGCATCCGCGCGGTGTTGGAAGCAGCTGGGACACCTGGAGCTGTGGAGAAGATCTTGGGAGTTTTTACTTGTACCCGGAAAAAACACGCCCACAAAGGGGGTCCCTGCACTCATCCCAAGTGAGGTGTCCTTCATTCTCAGGACGGAGGCGTTCTGGTCGCCAGTTCACCTCCGAAACACCAGCAGATGCTTGCAGATTCGCCGATCGGGGGGGTCGCTCCCGCCTGATCCTCACTGGTCGGTTGGTTAGACGGTTGGTGACGTTCGTTCTGAATGAGAGCATCCGAGGAAGAAGACAGTCAATGTGCTCCTGACCACAACACAGCCACTGGAAGCATTGAAGGAACCGCTGGCCCAAGTGAGAGCGAACACCTCGGGCGCAGCTGCCTTTGCATCTCTTCGTTGGAGCGTCCTTTCGCGGGCAGAGAACCGCGGCGCGGACATCGGACGCTTGGGAGTGCTGCGAGGCGTTTTTTTTTCTGTTGTTTTCTATGCTTTTGAACTCTTTTCACGTGTTTCGTTTTCACATTTCTTTTTTGGGCCTTGCAGTTGCAGACATCAACTTGGTCAGCAGCTCTCTGGGTTGGGATGACAGGTTCCAATTCTTATATATACTTTGAGTTTTGGTCCCATGTGCAGCTTGAAAAGACAAGCTCCACGTTTTTCAGAAAGACGTAGTTCTCCCTCGACGATGCGAGGAATCTTTTTACAGCAACTGCTTTTAGCTCGTGAGCTCTCCTTGGAGAGTGATGTGATCTTCAAACTGCACACGAAGAAGAGAAAAGCCTGGCGGGATCTCATGATCGAACCTCTGTGCGGAAGCGTCCAGGCGGCGGCGTCCTTCCGTCCTTCCGAAACCGAAACGCGGTCTCCGGCGCGGTTCCCTGGGGGGTGCGTGGAGTGGTTGAGAGCTGAGAGCTGGGCACGCATGGGGATCTGGTCCAAGAGTTCAAGAGGTGGTTGAAAGGGATTCACATGATTCACCTTTTTGGCAAACACTCGGAGCCAGAGAGGTTCGGTGGCTCCAGGTGGTTCAATCGATCCTCCAGCAGTTCGAGAGCGACCGGATGCTGGGGATGATGGGGCCCACGAATTTGACCTGGAGAAAGGAGGGGCCAACGGAGCACGTCGCCTTCGACTTAGCGAAGTTTGGCTTTGACCCAGATGCTCTCAGAGAAATGAACTTTGTTCCTTGGCACCCGGGTGGGGCGGGTGACTCGGTTCACCCACTTCTTTCTCTGAGATGTTTCTTCGAGTGGCGGGTGTTTGGATGTCCCAGCCGTTGGCATTCGGAGTTCTCCAAAGACCACACGAGTTTTTGGACGCAAGGTCTTCAATTTCGGGGTGGCCAGATGCCCCCAAGGTCAAAGGGTTGGTTACAGAAGTTCCGTCGGAAACTTTTTCGAGAAATGCCCCACGCGGGGTGGAGCTTGGTGTTCCGTCAGCCCATCGAGGACCTTTCGGAGAAACCAACCCTTGAAACACTGGAAGCTCTGTACTTACGGCCCAATCGAGATTGCAGGGGGGGTTCCTTTTGTGTTGGTCTTGGCTGCGGTGCAGGAGTGGGCCAGAGGCTCCCGCATCCTGACAAATTCAACCAACCGTCGTTGGTTTTGCCACGTTTCGAGGTGTGGTCCTTGCTGAAGCCCCCCGGCCAAGCGGGGAATGAGCTGCCCCCAGCAGCTGCTTGGACGATCATCGCCGGATCCTTCTATTGGATCAGGGCTGGTTTGACATGGGAGGAGCAGATCCTTCCAATGATCCCAAGGCTCTTGGACACTTGGAACCGCACCCGGACGGGACGGAGGCGAACGGGCTTCCCTTGCCCCGGTGCTTCGTTGGGGATCCGATCCGGGAGGTCGGTCTTGGTCCTGCACCCCGTGTCGTGTCCGTTTCGTGCCTTATCACCGAAACGAGCGAGGACACCATGGGTCCATACCACACGGGCTGCCATGCGAGTGGATGTTCCGCCGCCCTGGGCTTGGAGCGCCTGATTCCCACCCTCGTGGCCCTGGAGCGCCGCGTCGCCGCCGCGCCGGCGGTGCCGGCGGTGTGGGCGTCGTTGGCCTCGCCGCCCGCGGCCGCGCGGCGGTCGAAGAGGAAAGGCAAGGCGCCGGCGAAAGGAAGAAAAAGAGAGGACTGGCAGCGGAGGTCGCGGGCGAAAGGTGTCAGGATGTCTTCCCTAAGAAATGAAAGGAGAAGATGAGAAGATCAATTGTGTGAATAATCCATCACCAGCCTTTTTGGCCATCATCATAAGAAAAAGTGGATGGATCGAGCATAAAGTCTTTGGAGGGAGACACTCACGTGGAGAATGCTTCAACCGCCAGACCTGGCATCCGGCCTGAAAGAGGGCACGGCCTGAAAGCCACAAGTTGGAGAACTGTCCTTTCCATATATGTGTCTACCAACCCCATTCCCAGCGCCTTCAGCACCAAATCACTCCAGAGGCACTGTACCCGCTCCAGGTGGTCCAGAGGCACCGCGCCGTGCGGCGAATTCACCCAGTCCGAGATGGAAAAACACCGGCCGGCGCGCGCGGGCCCTTGGGCCCTTTAGCCCTTTAGGCCTTTAGGCCCTATCGGGTTTTTGTGCTTTGCAAGGTCTGGTTTTTTTTGGGCACGCGAAACGCCCGAGACTCGAGGTGACGACCCGGGCCATCGATGTTTGGGCCCCAACGACCCGGAGAAATCGGCATGTGAACTGCGTGTCACGTGTCAGCCAGTTGGGCCCCAAGCGGACGCTCTAAGCGCTGAAAAGCGTTTTGGGACGCTGGCGCCATTTTAGAGGGAGATCCATCTGGCATGGCGTGCCCGGAGCTAGAGATTCAGGTCAAGAACACCTTTCTGGACTTTCGCGAGCAGGACGCTGTGATGGGTGAACGGGTGAAGCTTCGAGGGTGCCTTAGCGGCGACCTCGATGTCCAAGTCAAAGGCCTCATCTTACTGGAGATGGTATCATACAGTCATATACAAAACCAATACTTGTCAGGGGGTCAGTTGCACCCGGTTTGGACGAATCAGACTGGACGAACGTCAGGAGAGCGTCACCTTCTCACGCGGCATTTCGTGGTCTCCGGGCGACACGCCGCTCCTTCCAGCGGCCGACACGCCCAACACGGGGAAAGCTCAGGTTACGGAGGGGCTGTCCCTTGGAATGGGTGAGAAGCGAAGAGTTTTCCCTTTTTTTGGGGGGAGGGGCCGGGAACCAGAGGCCAAAGCTGTGTTGTCACCCGTCCCGGACGTGTTCGTGTGATCCCGCAAGTCCCAGGCATGCAACTCCAGATGCTGCCATAGCTGTCCAGAAGCACAAGAAGCACAATGCCAAGTGCAATCCTTGTGTCTATTTGGCGGGCAGCTATGGATGTACCTCACCCGCTTGCCCCTTTTGTCATCACACCCTCGCCGTCCCGAACCAGCGGCGCGGACGTCCGCGCAAGCGCGTGCGGGACACGTACAAAAACATGCTCGATGCGATCCTTCAGCGCCCCAACGTCGGAGCCCCAAATCGGTGGACGGTCGGATGGGTGGACACCTTCTTCCACCGGAGGACAGACAGACCACCGCGCAGCACGGTCGGGATTCGAAGATCGACGGTCCGACCTGAGGATGCGGCACGCCATATGGCGCTGCAATCTTTGGCAGCTGAGGACCCTTACGTCCGCTTGTTGATCACGGGACGACTTGATGCTGAGCCCCTTGGCCGCTGAGGGTCAGGACCATTGCCGAAGCTCACGGAGTCCTCCCCCTTGCCCAAACCAGTGATGTAGGGCTTTTGGTTGTGCAGTGGCTTGCGTGAGGGGCTCGGGTGCTTGGTATATCTGAGGTTTGCCGCCACTCACTCCACTTGAACCTCCACATGAGGAACACCAAGGTGCCTTTGATTTGTGTGTTGGCCTCAGGTGAGGTGAGGTCGAACACTCCTTTGGTTGGCCGGTTGGGGATCCCATTTTTCGGTTTCTTCTCAGATGCCAAATGACCAAACCAGTGAACCACTAGTGGACTTTGTAGGCATAAAACTAGGCCGAACCCACAGGCAGCCAGTGGGTGACCTCGCTGCGCTCGTTTCAGGCTGAATGAAGCTCAGTCTTCGGCGTGCCGTGTGGCTCAACGGCAGGGACAACAGCGGAAGAACCGAGCGGGTTTTAATCTTTGCGGCTGGGAACGCCGAGCGGTTTCACCGCCGAGTCTTGGTCCGGAATTCTTCCAGGCTTCGTCTGGATGTTGGTACATTTATACTCACGAAATGCAACGAGTATCAGATGGCGTGTGATCAGAGATATTTTGGACGTGTGTTTCGGGCAGCGAGGAACTAGACTGGAAGGTCCAGAGTGATGCGCCCTCTGAGCAGAGGCTTTGCTACCAACGATGCCAGTGATGCCAGATGACTTGCCACAGTTTAGAAAGTCAATGAATTGGTTTAGTGGAGCATCTACCAGAACTCTTTGTCTTAACCCCCAAAAACAACTACGGGTTCCCTGTAGATGTTCCCTCAACCAATTCGAGAAAGAGGACGCTGTTTGAGAGCAAAGAGCAAAGCCCAGGCGACGCAGGGTGCCCACCAGAGTTGCAGCTAGAGTTGCTTCCCACCCACAAGCGAGTTGCTTGCCGTCCGCAGGCTTTCATATCTTTCATCCATGAGAGTTGAAGGGTGGAAGACGATGCAATGGTGGAAGACGGTTGCACCGCCTAGCCGAGTCTTGCCGGCTGCAGGGCAGCCGAGCTGAACTAGCTGAGCACATTTAGACACCATGCGCTAAGTCATCTAGACACCATGCGCTAGAGTCTTGCTTTCTTTTTGCCCCTGGTTCTGAGGCTCAGAACATGCGCCTTGGAAGATTTTCTCGTTTTTTTGGCCAAAATGGCACGCGGGACTGAGAAAGGAGAACAGGATGGCATGACGCGAGCCTGCGTTGACGAGTGGAGGTGTGGTGGGCGGTAGAGATCTTCCAAAGACCACTTGACCGAGGCCAAGTGGTCAAGTGGAGGTCATTTTACAAATCGGTGGTCGAATTACCATGCCCTTTCGTGTGAGGAAAGCATGGCAGCCGAGGTTGTCTCACTTCTTTAGAGGGGATCGATTCAATTCTTTCTCAGACCAATCCAGCTGGGCCTCCCAGATCGAAAGCATGGGCCTTGGGTGACAACGACCATCCTGGGGCCAGAGAGGCGGGCCAATCGGAAAGCCCCACGAAAAAAAGGGCCACGTCAAGAAACGCTGCCAAGCCCTTTCGTGCCTCCTTCTGCTCAAGCCCTGGTGCCACCCTGCCGGGGGTGATGGGCATGACACTAATGAAGTGGCTCTTCGACGGCAGCGGTGAGGGCGCGGGCGCGTTTGTGGCGCGGAACGGGCCAGGGGAGCCAAAGAGGGCCATCGACCGTTTGGTGAATGTCCTTCGAGATGATGGCTGATCGCGAGCGGTGCGAGAAGGTATAGATGTTTCCCCAACCTGCACACCACGAAACCGGATTGGCAAAGATCATACTAACCAGGTTTGTGTTGTTTGCCTTTGTTACCACATTGATTGGTGAGTCCCACCCGAATCCCCGTACCCGCTGTACCCGCTGTACCGGGGCGGATCGCGTCGTGGGTCGGCCCTACGACCCCGGGACGGCTGGGGGTGGCGAGCCCATCGGTTGAAGAACCCGAACTAGACTATCCCAGTTCGGTACCCACTCTCTAGGGTCCTAGTTCAGGTCACTCAACCTGTGTTGGATACATCCTTCGATCAGCTACCGAGGTTTGCATGGGCCTTCTTGGGCTTGGCCCATGGCATCGTTTTGCAGCTGCGCTTCGGCGGATGTCTCTGCGTCAGCTGCGCGACAAGGGTGTGTCAACATGGATCACGAGTAATCTCACCTAGAGCTGCTTGAGCATGTTCTGGGCAGTTTGCGCCATGCGCCATGTGCGGACCGGACCGCACGACGTAGCTGCGCACCCATTTTCTGACACTGCCAAGGAAGATGTTGCTAGATATTTCTTTGCGGGGGGTTCTTTCATTTTTCCGGTTCTGTCCACGAAAAAAGTTGCGCCAGTCCTTTTTCTCGAGACTTCCTCCGCTCGGACTTCATCGTGGGGTAGTTGAGACGCTCCGCCCGAAAGCTTCAGCAGACTCGTCCAGTGCCAACCGTCGCGTCCGCGGCGCTCGAGGTCCGAACAGATGGCGCCAGCAAGCCGTTGCCTCAGCGCGTTGGGTTGGTCCGGTTGGTGGGTGACACCGCCACGCGTCCGTCGAAGTAGGCGTCACATGCTTCGACTTCGGACCAAATGCTGGGAGACTTTCAGTCTTTTCAACCCCCGATGTCCAAAGAAAACGCCCCAAACACGAAGCTGAAAGGGTCCAGACGGCCGGTGTTTCGTGCTGTTCTTTCCTTCCGTGCTCGGGGGGGTGTCCTCGCCGTCCTCGCCGTCTTCCGCTCCAGATGGCGCTCCCTTCCTGGCGCCGGCGGAGCTGCCGCAGTTCCCCGAGCCACGGGAGGATTTGATGGCGGCGGAGTACACGGTGAATCGAGGCGTGTCCAACGTGCCGAAGATCCTGGAGCACGGACGAGCACATGACTGCAACTGGACCTGAACTGAGTGGGCCCCTTTTTTGGGGTGGTGATTCAGAAGCTAAAGCAGCTAAAGCAGCTAAACATTCAGTGACATGTTTCTTTGCACGGTCGGAGTAGAAGAGCAAGAACATGTATGGGGTCGTCCAACTTTGAACATATGGGCCAAACAGCCCGGCGGCGATTGATGTGAGCATCGGAGAGATCAGCTAACGAACAGGCCACCGGCAAGAGCGATGCCCCGAAAAAGAGATAGAGAGAGGCACCTGTCAGCTGCGACCGAGGAAACGGATCCTTCTTAGAGTCTTAGAGTGATGGCTTGATCGGATTGACCTTGCGGCCTTTCGAAAGCCAAGGCGACGATGGAGAACATGCCAGCAAGAACAAGCGCCTCGGGATTCAGATTCACGTTTTGTTTTTGACCATTTCCATCCATTTCCCGTGTTTACAGCGATGTGGCTGGAGGACGATGATGTTGCATGTTCATCGTGTTCTTGTCGGCTAGTGTGTGCAAGTACACTTAGTAGACACCGCAGACTGTATCCGAAAAGAGTGTTTGAAAGGCAGTCCTGCTTGCGAGAAAGGTGAGTTGTTGTTTTGGTTAAGCTTTCTTGTCCTTGGTGCCAGGTGTTTGACCCACGAAAACCGCAAATGTCGCTTGGCCTCAGAGCTTCTCACGGACTCGACTTGCTTGGTCCGGCCACCAGCTTCCCTGGGTTGAAGCCTTCTTGAACGGTCGGTGGGGTGGGTTTTCCCACCTCACCCTCGCTTGTCCAATAGGTCCGATGGCAGCTTCAGGTGACGCTCCGAACGGACGTGCCGAACGGACTCTTCTTCATGTTTTCCGCCGGTGCGCCGGCATGGTGTTGGAACGATGCGTCCTCTCCACTCGCCTGGTTTTAGGCACCTGGCCACTTCGGCCTTCGGGGAAGACGGCGTCAAAGTTTGACAAGTTTGACTGCACAAGAGGAGGGTTCTGACGTTAGGATATAAGCTTTGCCACCCCGAGAGATGGCTTTACTGCTTGGAGTTTCCTATCTTTGGGCATGGCAGGCCAACATTGCTGTTTACAGAGTGGGAGATTTAAGATCAAGTAGTGTTCATTCGGCCCAGGTGGGGCTCAGGTTTGATCCTGCCACGGTCCAAATCGACGTCAGACGGCCGCAAGACGGGCCGGCCCGATGCAAGGCATGTGGGTCAGGCTTCACAGTCATGATCCACGCCCACTGGTGCAGAAGGAGACCGCCTTTTGCATGCCACCTGGCTGGGTCTGGGCGAGTTGTGGCTGAGCCTGGTCCACAATGGATTGGTCATGCCTGATGGCCCAGCTATGGGCTGACATGGGCCACTCCCATGGGCTTTTGACCAAGAACCACGGCCGCTAACCTTGAATTCCTAGTGTAATTGTTCAATTATTTGGTAGAACAGCACAGGCTGGGAGGACATCCACATAGCGCAGCTCACACAGCGAGAAGCTTCGAAACCTCTTTTAATGAGTCCCGTAGAAGTGCACAGCCACACACAACCCATATTTACCTTGAGCCAGATCCGAACATGTAAGCTAACACGTAAGCTTGAGTCTGTTGTCTCTTCAGGGCGATTTCCTTTGGTCCATTGACACTGCACCCACGACATCAACATCGATTGTGGTCACGAGAAACACAACGCCTCTCAGGCCTTGCCAACTGGATGGCGTCGATCTGCCCTGTTGGAACAGCGGCGCCTGGTTGGGTGGCAGCCAGGCTCGGGGAACCTCCAAAGAAACACCACGGGTCGCTGTCCGTTGGCAGAGACACCCTTTGACCATCCCATCTCCCGCGTTGAAGAGGTCATGGAGTGTGAGATGTCCTGCCTTCATCAGAAGCGGGTGATGCAACCGCAGTACTCCTGCACCGACTTCACCGGCATCGACCCTTGGCCCGTCCCGGTCACGGTAGGGGGCCCGTCCCGGTGGTTTCGGATGGCCCCTTTTTGGAATCAGTGGCCAACAGTGCTGGCAACCAATAGGCTTCGGAGGGCCATTTTGGGGTCACCTAATTCCTGAGACTGCTTTGCTCATGTTCTTCTGGACAAAAAGAAGCCCCATAACCTTCGCCCAAAGCCCCTTTCGCTCGGCATCTCAGGATAGCCAGACGTCCTGCTTCGGCCGCGGCGATGAAACCAGCTCCAAGTGCATGTTCATCACCTACCAGGCGCGGTTCCCGTCCGACGGAGGAGATTGGAACCGAGACACTGCAACTCGGCTGCCCCGAGACACGGAAAAACTCCACATGCTGTGCTATAGAAGCTCAAGCCTTCCCCAAATTCACCTGTGAAGCCACGGGCCGCACGGGACCTTCGTGGGCTTGATCACGACAGCGTAGAGCTCGGCGGAGAGAGGGGTCGTAAGTGGAAGTGGCCGACGTGGAGCCAAAGAAGAACCACGAAGAAGAAAGACAGGTGGCCATTGCTAATAAGAACATGCGCCGATGGACTGCCATGAAGCATAAACTTGAAGATAAAAATCCCAGGCGTCGTTGGAAGCCCGGACAGCCTAAACCATACTGCCTGTTCATCCACCTTCTGTTGGAGGCCATCGCTTCTAGGTCCATCGCTATTAGGTTGGAGGCCTATATGGCCTATACTGCAGTCCTGCCTGTTCATCCACTTCTTGGGCTCCCGCAGGATCAGCATGGGGCGACCAAGTCCTCCTGTGCGCCTTGCGAGCTGCAAGGGGTGGGCAACATCGATTGCCCGGTGAGTGGCATGACAGGCAGAGCGCCGTACGGGGAGCCAATGGGGTCCACAGAAGAACGTGATGCCGTGTGCCGAATTCGGATCTGGTGGGAGGACTTGGGACTCATCTAGACTCATCAGCTATCAGCTACGTAGCTGCTTGCTCCACAGCCATGGGGGGGGAGCTTTGATGCCAGTTGCCCTCCAGGCCCCGAGGTGAACTCCACCGTAACGATGTGTGCCAGCCAGTGCGAGGCGAAGTGTTCCGGTTACGGAAGGGGAAGGGGGGGCAGAGAGGGAGGTCCCCTTTTTCCATCAGGCTCGGGCTGAGGGAAACAGGAATGAACAGGAAGGAACCACCCCTGTAGATACCTCTTTCCGATCCATTCCCTTATTCCTGATATGTCCTGCAGGGTCTTAGGCACCGAGTAGTGATTTGGGTCGGTCTTCGACTTGGATCTTGGAGGTCGTCTTTGGCCTCTCTTCGGCCTTGGCCACCTGCGCTCCAAGCTCATAAGTCCGTCCGCACAAGGAACCTACTTTCGATGCCGGCACCTGCGCGCTCGCTTTCTTGTGGCTTCGAAAGCTCCTAGCAGTAAGCCCAGGAGCTAGTAGCTCCTAGTAGCGACGGCCTGAACTTCCCTGTTCCTCGCAGGCTCCCAGGCCCGACGCCCACGTGACGCTGGCACCCTCCGTGACCAACCCAGGCGAGGCGTTGCGGGCGTCCATTCAGAAAAGGATCCATGTGAACTCAGCAGGGTCGATTGCTACTAGTAGCTTCTTGTTACTAGTAGTAGGGCCAGGAGCTACT